TAATCACGAAATTTTGGAATCTCATTCATTGAGAAGTATAATCGGTTTTTACAAATCTTGTAAAGAATTTCATCGAGCTTCTTACCTTGCATCGACCTTGAAACCAATGACTGCAAAACCAAATACTGGTAATGTCGCTAATAAAACTGATGGCAAAACTAACTTCCAATTCAAAAAAACTAATGAAGGTGAAACAAGTCATAGCGGACGAAGCGTTTCTACAGTTACTGACGGCAACTGTCAACAGAATGGTTTTAAATTTAAAGTTGGAGAAAATACTTTTGCGAAAATTGACCAACATTCAAAGGAGCATATAATGATCAGCTACTGTCATAAACAAAAAGATCTAGCTCATAAATTGGTACCTCGTCTACGAAAAAGTGGCTGCAAGCAAATCTGGATAGATTCCGAGAACATGCACAAAGGCAAAGGTATTCTTGATGAAATGGCGGACGCAGTTGATAATGCATCAGTTATTGTCTGTTTGCTATCAAACGATTATTACTTGAGCGAAAACTGCATGTCTGAAATCAGGTATGCTAGAATTAAAAAGAAAACGATAATTCCAGTAGTTGCTGAAGACATTTTTATGCCAGACAAAGTTCTTCTCTTGTGCATCGGTGACAAATACCGCTTTGATTTATCAACGGATGCCCGATTTGCCCTCACTTATCCTTTACTGGAAGAAAAACTTAGAGCAGAAAAACTCCTATAAATAGACAAACATTTTGTAAAACTGTTGAAGTATTTGTACAAGTAACTCCCATCTTAGTACTTAAAAAACACTAACTCTGCGGTGAGTAGAAAAAATTATTAATTTTTCGTAAAGACATTCGAAAACAATGAGGAATGTATTTGTTTTGTTTTGTATTCAGACCTTATTCTGAACTACAGTTGTAGAGAGGGGATTGAAACAATTAATCTGCGTGTTTCCAAGCGGATGTACTACAAACTACTATTTCCGTGGGCCTACGTAAGCTGCCGGTTAAAAACTTCGAAAACTTAAGCTATGATGTTAGAAAATTGATAGTAACTATACCCGTTCAACTTTTATAGTTTTTCATAGATTTTTTTTTACTTTTAGAAGACCAACAAAAAGCAGTAAAAAAACCAAGGGCTTTGTTTTGAAGTGATGTTTTGAAATCTTTTCTTTCAGCTTTAAGTGCTCTGATCGTGGCACCAGTTTGTCAAAAAAATTTACAAACTCGTTGAAATAGTTCATTTATTGAACTGTTTATTGCTTTTTATTTCGATTTATTGTTTGTGAGAAAACTATTTCTTAAAAATTATAGTATTTTGTGAAGCCATTCTTAATCAATTACGCCTATAGATTAATAATTTTTGTTCAGTTTTATGTTAGAAAGCTCAACTAATCAATGTCATAATGTTTTTGTTCTTTCTTTAAAATGAAATTAGATATCGGCAGATTCTTGTTATAGAAAAAGCTTTTTTTTGCGAAATAAAAACAATTTCAGACCAAATAAAGGCTTTAAGTTTTATATTTCAGAGCAACTAAAGGGAGCTCTAATTTTACATCACCACTTCATAAGGTGATTTTTCATAACTCATGAACTTCTAAATGAAACCACTTACAAAGATTGATCAAGTTTATTTTTGTGGTTTTTGCTATCGTTTTTAGTCACTAACATTCAGCTTTTACATTTATTGAATTTGCTTTTCAGTTTCACTAAATTTCATTTTATCGGCATTAAGTTTTGTAAAAAAAAATGAAAGATCTAATAATAGTTCAGAAAAAATGGCAGATTGAAAGAGAGCTGCTGATGCTTATGAGAATGCAAGTTGAAAAGCATGTGAATTTCAGAAAGAGAGTGAAAACAATTACCGAAATGAATATTTTATACCTCCGATGACCATATTGTGGGTTAAAAAAAAAGTACGGCAATTTCGTCAAGCTTCTGAGACTCACTCTGGGCTACATTGAAAATACGTTCTTGTTTTTAATTGTTTAAATGAAACAGAGCAAAACCAGAAAACTTCATATTCAGATTAATTTGTTTGAATATGACACCGTACTTGAACTTGTTTTTATAGCTATTTGGGCTAATGTGGGAAAAAACGTCCGATAAAGAAATATCTCACTTTCAGTCAGAGTTAAATTTGTCTCCTCCATGATTTTCTTGATCACTTAATGAAATTTTGTCATTTCTTGTTTCAACATAAGAACGTTTCATTGCGCCAACAATTTTTGGAAATCTATGATATCAAATTTAGATTTATGATCTCATCTTAATATTTTCGAAGCAGATTTATTCTGCCTTGGGCTATATGCTAACGGCCCTCCTAATTCTAACAATGGCAAAAAACAAGATTTCTCTTTCGAAACCAGGTCATATTTTAATTAGATTATCAAATAAGTCACTTGAAACCACTTTCATTTATTATATTTTAAAATCTGAGACTCTAAAATACCAATATTTTGCAATGAACTACTGAATATATATGGCGCATTGAAACATGAGAGATTAATTAATTAAATCAAGAAAAGCATTAGCACCCTTTCGTATAGCTCCACCTCAAGATTTAAGCTACTTTTTATGGAACTTATTTTACAGTTGCTAATAAAGGCCCTAGCTATAAAAATTTTTAATAGCGCTCGCAACAGATAAGCAAGATAACTGTTTAGCGTCAAATATGCGTCATACATTACTGCAAAAAGTTTGAGAAATTATGTTCAATTTCGAAAAAAAACGAATTGGAAGAAAAATTACTATCAAAAACAAAAAAAAAATAAACTAAAAAAAAGGTTAAAATCCTGTTTCAAAGATAAAAATAGCTGACACAAACTGTGAAAATTTTATTTGAAGTTAATTCGAGCACTACAGACAAACTTAAGGGCCGACAGATTTCATCCTTTTATTGTGTCATTGTAAAACCCTACTCCAGAATGTTTGTTTTATTTTTGTAAAGGTTTCGTCTAACATTGAGAATGTTAAATCCACCCAATTGGGTTGACGAGTAGTGCCTACTTGCCAGAAGAGATAACAACTGGTCCGAGAGACATGTGTTAATTTTCAGCCCGTGGACAAAAGGCGCTCAATGCTAAATTATTTAGAACGCTTTTGCATATAAAAAAAAGTTGCAACAGACGAATACAAACAAAAATTTTTTAGGAAAACGAAAATTCAAATGAATTCAAAGTTGGAACTTGGAACTAGACAAAATCTGTGCCAAACAAAAACTATATTTTTTTCCTCGTGACACCGTACATGAAATAGCTTAACTAAAATAAATTTAACCTTGAAAGATCGCAAAATCAATGCTAATTAAAAAATTTGACAGGAAAGCAGGCTAAAAGGTAAAAAGACTAATATTTGTTTCACAGTACAACCAAAAAAAATTTACGGTATCTTCAAACTGAAAGAACTCGAAGATTTTTTTCTACAAGATATCTTGTTTCGGTCAAGAGGCAATCCAATTGCAATCAGGTTAAAATTACCTTCGAGCTGATCAATTGATGTTTTGACCCAACATACAAACTAGATGAAAGTTTTGCAATAGCAGATTCTAGATAACTAAGCTCAGGTACTACAAATTTGGGAAACTGTAATCAACATATACGAAAATTTTCTCTTTTAAATATTTTAATAGATAACAGACAAGAACCAGACAAAAAAAACAACAAATTTCAAAAAAAAGAAGTATTGGCGTGAAACTTTGAAAGATGATATTTTATCCGCGTCGAAGCAAACTTTCAAATACAAATACGAAAAAATAGCGTATCTACTAACAGCCAGCTGGATTTTCATGTTTTCCGACATTGTGATAAAGAAACACTTTGATCCAGGGGCGGATCTAGGATTTTCTCGAGGGGGGAGGGCGGATTTTCAAAAAAAAATTTGTCCATTTTTTTAGGTCGACCAAATTGAATTTACGAGCTCTTATAAAGCACTACAAAGACCCTGTTTTGGCCAACATTTATGCGCCGCAGGCAAAGTTTGAAAAAACAGGCAAAAAAGCGTTTTTAGGCACTTTTTGGAAACTTTTGACCAAAAATTTGCGTTTTTCGGCGCGCGCTCCCCCTCAAAATTAGTATAATGGCACCGAACGCGCCTTTAGAAAAATTTTATGGTCCGTCACCAAAAATGGATATCCTAAAATAAAATAAAGGGGGATCATTTGAGCCCGCAGGGGGTCGAATCCCTGAGGGGGGAGGAAAAGGCGTCCCCCCCCCCCCTCCTAAATCCGCCCCTGCTTTGATCATTTTAAACGAAAGTGCTATGTATTTTTGTATTTTGAGTCAAGAAATTTAACTGAATCATCCGGTAAAAATATCTCACCTATGGTTTTTTATTAAACTCTAAGGGTTTAAAAATTGCTAATTCAGCCAGTTTGAGATAATTACAGCGCGCAAAATTTTTTAATTATTTGCAGCGCGTTTTGGAAGCGGCAAATTATTTGGCCCAGACATCATTCAAACGTGTTTTCGTGATGATTATAATGAAGTTTCAAAATTGCGGGATTTGAAATTAATCAATGCGTAATTAAACAAAACGAAAACTCAGAAAACTTTGCTCTGTTTTGGGATGAATCTGAATACTTCTCTGACTAATTGTCAAAACATTAACAAACATCTTTGAATCAAAAGTTTTCAAAAAATGTTAAGTCAAACGTTTGTCAACATTGGCGAGCTTGGTCAACGCTTGAAAATTAGCGACTCATGTTGGGTTTTTCTTAACATTCATTGACTTGGTTGCAAACTAATGAAACGAAAAAAAGTTTGGTTTTCAAGGTAAAAAAGAGCAATTTTGGGTTGATCAGTTTTGGTCAAATTCATTCATCAAAATTTTGCATCAACTATACAATAATTAGCAAAAAAGATTATCGAGAAACCATTTTGACTGTAAAAGCTGTGTTTTTGTCATCACTTATGTTTAATGTCGACTGAAACTTCTATCTTGCATTTTGCATTTTGCTCTGTTTAATAGGATTTTGAATGCTCATTTTTTCCAATTCTCTGTTTTTTTTCATTAGGATCTCACCTGAGATAAATCCGTCGGTATAATTTCCTCTGCGTACTTGTCCAATTGTGTCAACGAAGCGAACCTCGTGTTGCCCAGTTTAGACGACTTAATTTTGTTCATGTTGCAGATGGAAATTGCGGGAAAAGTGAGTGTTCTAGAATCTTCCATTTGTGTGACTACCGACACTGGCCAACCGAAGAAGTCGACGAGGAGGCTGCATGTCTGCCAGGTGAATCCGGCGAATGATCCGAGTACTAGGATAATCCACAGAACACGACGGTAATCCGAAGAGACCTAAAATTGACAGTTTTAACAAAAATGATCCAAAAATAAAACAAAAAATTAAACTTGTTTCAAGCAAGGAAAAATCGTTTATGAACAAAAAATTTATCCAAAAAATCCCATAACAGTATATGATCATGAATTATTTGCAATAGAATATAATTTTTTGAACCTGAGTTTTTTCTTAATTTTCATCGTGGGAGGAAAATTGATGACATGCGAACTACTTAGCCTATTCCTAAACCGATGTTCACTTCTTGAGTCAAAGTTTGAATTTATTTTAAGACAAATGCAGCGTTTTTAGTATAATAATTGTAGTTCCTGCGAATCGCAGAGGAGCTATCAGTAGGCCTTAACAGTCCTGTCGAGGATAGTCCTTTTTGTATTATCTCCCCACATTCTAGACTGTGTTATTTTGTTGAGCGAAGCTCTTTTTTTTGCGACTCAAGGCCGTTTTTGTGCGTCTAGAACTTTCACGTGGTACCACTATTGCAGCCAAATTTGGTCAGGTTGTGGTAGACCTGAAGCTAGAGGTCAAGTGAGAGCTCGTCCTCACACACTATCATTGCCATGGCATGGGATCGATTACACGATCTGACGATTCAGAAGTGAACGCCTTACCACTATGCTAAGTGCTAAGTATGTCAAACAATCAAACAAAGGGTTTAAAGAACAATTTCTCTGCACATGCAGTTATACCAAAGAAATATATCTGAAATCTAAAACTTGAAAAAGTACCGCAGAGACGGACTCAAAAAAATCCCTTTTGATTCCAGAAATACAAACAAAATAAGTTACTCGTCTTTTTGCATCATATTTTAAACAAATAATATTCCTCCTTGTTTTTTTTTGAAAAAGAGATCCATCTTTTGAGGGGGGGGGGGATTAAGTTAGCTTTACCTTGGCTGCCCTGGCCACCCCGTGGACTAGAGATGTCTCCTGGAAAAATAGTCTGGTAAGAGTGGTGCAGTCATCTGATGAGTCCAAGTGCATCATACGACGAAGATGCTTCTCCTCCTCTTGCTGTAAATGGAAAAGAATTTTCCCGGAAAATGAATGAAAAATAAGTCTGAAAAGCGAAAACTTCATATCATTTTTATCGACAGTGAGAAATCATTTTGAAACATTTTTGTATGGAAAATTTCAATTGCATTAATTTCGTAAGTACTTCGAAATCATGGATGATTAGACCGCAATGTGACGTTTCATGGTCAGTATATGATTTCATGAAGAAAAAAAACAATTTCGAATCATTTTTTTAATCCTCACTGCGAGATCGAGTAGTTGACCGGTTTTATCAAAAAAGGGGGATCGCTCAATTCTTCAAGCGAACCAAAAATTGTAAGTTCGATTCTCTGAACTAATAGAATCAGACCAGAAGCTCACCTCAATTTGCTGTAGTTCCTGCATTATACTCTGTGTTCCATTAGTAGCACCTGGTTTGAAACCCCCCGAGGGGGGACGAGGAGGCAAACTGTTGCTCTCCTTACACTCGCCCCCGATCACCACCCTAACACACAAATACCATGATCATGATACGCTAAATTAAATGATTGAATGCTGAATTAAACGCTGAATGAGTTTTTTAAGAGCCAAAATTACTTTGTCAAAGTTTTAGAATTTAAGAATCAAAGCTAATATTAAAAAGCACAATTTAAGAGTAATAAAAAATCAAAGATTTTTTGATATGCCAAAAAAAACTTCGGTAATTTCATTTTTTTGTGATTTTTAACAGATTTAATCATTTTTGTTTTCTTTCTAATGAAATTTATTCATCGAATGAAGAACATTGTAATTAGTTCAGAAAGAAAACAATCATATGGTCTTAAATCAAAATCAAAATAATTAATATCAGTTTCATTTCAACTTATGGTAAGGAACCATTTGATTTCTTCTTTAGGACAAATAAAAAATCAATACTTGCCTTTCTCTGGGTCCCAGGATTTCCGGTCTGGGCGGCAAGAAATTACTTTTACTACTATTCAGCTGCCTCGCATCGTCGTAGATAGACGTATAGACAGGCGAGTTCGTATTTCTATGATTATGACACCCCCCATTCCCATTAGTACTCCTGTGATTATTATAACAGGGAAGAGGGGGAGGTTGGGTTGTAAAGGACGGAGATGGATGAATTGTGTTTGTATTTTCAGACCCGACAACTACCGCGCAACAGCAACTTGCACAGGAGCCGTTGTGCGAGGCAGCCCCACTTAGGCTCATATCTTCGATCCCGTTATTGGCAAGAACGACAGAGTTGCCAAGTAAATTTCTATTGTTATTATTATTACTGCTGTTGCTGTTGTTGTTGTTTACATTACTGCAGTTGTTGACGAGACGGCGGTAGTTTTCGTCGGGGTAAGTTCGAACCATTTGCAGTGAATGAGCTGACCCATTTGGTAATTGGGGGTTGGTTTGGGAATCTAAAACAGAGCAAAGAAACTCATGCTACCTTGCAAAAATAATGATGCAAGTTAAAACTTAGTTTGAAAATAGATTTTACATAGAAAGAAGACTTTTTTTAAAGAAATAATTTTTTAATCATCCGGACTTACTTCGAGTAATCATTGTCTCAAAAAAATAAGGAGATTTCTGAAACTTAAGAAAAGTTCCCAAAAAATATTGGAATTTTTTTTTTAAATTATCAATAACAAAGTTTCAGGGATTTAACCAATTATATTGGCGTTAAGTGGTCTGCATCTTTTGAAGAAAAATTGGCTCCCAGTCGTTTCCGCCCTATTAACGCAGTCTTCTCCGCCCCAGTCACTTCCACTCCAGTTATTTCCGCCCCAAAAGCAGTCAGTTCCGCTCAAATATCAGTTCCGCCCCAACTAACGTATACCATAAGCCTTTACGAGTTAAACATTCCGTTGTTTGTTCATGTGAATCAAAGCGAATAAAAGATACAATGTTAAAAAAACCGTATCTTTGACAATGTGTAGCAAAGCGAAATAAAGGGGATAGTTTTGGGGCGGAAATGACTGGGTTTTTGGGCGGAAATGACTGGGTTTTCGGTGCGGAAGTGTTGTGTCTGGGGCGGAAATGACTGGGTTTTTGGGCGGAAATGACTGGGTTTTCGGCGCGGAAGTGTCTGGGGCGGGAATGACTGGGTTTTTGGGCGGAAAAGTCTGGGTTTTCGGTGCGAAAGTGTTGTGTCTGGGGCGGAAATGACTGGGTTTTTGGGCGGAAATGACTGGGTTTTCGGTGCGGAAGTGTCTGGGGCGGGAATGACTGGGTTTTTGGGCAAAATGACTGGGTTTTTGGGCGAAAATGACTGGGTTTTCGGTGCGGAAGTGTCTGGGGCGGAAATGACTGAGCACGGAAAAAACAATGGCAAAGTAATTTTTTGAGATATGTTTTAGATAAAAGCAGAATGTTATGACCACAATATACAATCCTATAGCTTGGAAAAACAACGAAAAAAAAATACCTAATGTATTTCATGGTTTTATCTTAATTCAAACGATTCGCTTGCTCACTCTAGAAAAGGTTGAAATTCCAGTTCAAATGTTGGGCTAAAATAGTTGAACTAACGAGCAAACTATCGAAAATAATAAAACTCACTTATTGAAGCGATTAGTGACTAATAAATGTAGCGTTTTAAATCTATTAACGGTTCTAGTCCAAACATTCGACTTGTCAAGCATTCGCTATGTCAGACATCCGATTTCATATAGTTTTTACTTAATAATGAGACGCAAGATTTTCCAAGGCAAGACAGTTCAATTAGCCAAATCCAATTGAACCGATATTCGTGTGCTCGGCGGAATTAGGGAGGGGCGGATGCTCCTCTCTCTCCTCATGGATATGACCCCCTTAATAGCAAAAAATAGATCTACTTAGCAATCCCCCATTTCAGAAAGGGGGATTATTTAGTAGATTAAGTTTTTCGACTTTTGGACCAATCAGAATGCAGCAAAATTATATTTCTCAAAAAACAGCTCTAACGCTTATTTATTGTATTTATTCACAGGGGTCGAGATTCTTGAGTAGATACCTTAGAAAGGACATTGTTAAGTAGATCCCAAAAAAATTCACTCCATTTTCGGCAAGCAGCCCTAAAAAGTTTAAGCATGATCTAAACAAAATACAGTTACGTGGCAGTATTTAGGCAACTGCATATTCATACTCATCACTAGGTAGACAAATACTGTAATAAACAATCAGAATCGACACAAAGGAAGAAATTAGTAAATAATAATTATTCAGTTCGTAAGAGTGCTTGCTAATCTCGATACTGATTGTTTGAAATAGTAATTGTCTGCGTACTGACGAGTACGAATACGCGGTTGTCCTCAATCCGCAAAATACAAAGCAAATTTTCTGTTGGTATCGCATCATGGAAACTTTTCTGTGTTCTTCCTACTCTTAGCATCTTTTGACTTAGCATCTTTTGACGATCGAATTGTGTCACTTCAAAATCAAACAATGTTTAATCCCCTACAAAGGTTCTGTAACGTTCTGTAAAAGATATTTAAAAAATCTTGTAAACAAATCGACCGGCACTTTTTCTCTCCCCTAGTCTTAAAGTTGATCGAAGGAGAAATTAATATATTTGCTCTGAATCTCGGGGGTTTTTTTTTTCTTCAGACAAACTTCGACTTTTTGACTTGCCATTTTTGACGGAATTTGTATATATCATTCAAAAGGTATTGTTGTCATGACCATGAACCTGAAAAAATACAATATCAGTGATTATTTTTTGTAAAGTTTTGGGGATTTAAAATTTATTTTGTGGCCAATTTTGGAAAATTAACGCGCGATATATTTCGTGCTAATAACGCGTAAGCCGATCTATAATCCGTCTTAAAATCGTTCCAAATTGGTTGAAGGAAGCTTATTCACTATAATTGATTTGTTAAAAGCAGCGAATTCTATCACTTTGTCTTTTATATGGCGTGTGGGGTATGATTTTTACAAAAAAAAAAGAAAAAAAATTTTTATTGCTATATTTCTTTTTTTTTCATATTTTAACTGTTCCATAGACAGTCAGAACATTCAGGGTTTTGCCATGATACGAGCAGTTTTGTTTCTATTTCAAATACTTTCCACTCATTTTTTGAGCTTTTTAAAATTTGTATGGAGCCATATTTCAACATGAGGACGTCGTTTGATGAATGTAAGAATTGGGTAGACAAGGGAAAATTTTGAAAGAAAAAAAAAAGCTTTTTGTAGGAAACCATTGGTTATGGCAGTGAAACTAGAAAAAAATATAACAGTACCACTGACAGGAAAATTTGTAAGCATTATTTACATAAACATAAGCAATTTTGTTTCAAAAGTGGCTCCACTTAAAAGGGCTAGAGGCAAAAAAGGGCTTTGACTCAGAAAAAAAAATTATTGAATGAAATAACTCAGTTCAGAAAGTTTGGAAAAAAAACAATCTGTTCATCTTTAATACCAGCTTAAAAAAATTGACCAACTCTCAGTTGTTTGCTGAATTGCAACTATTTTATATATTAAAAAAAAAGAAGTGAATACTTCTTTTCCCTAGCGTCTTTCAAATTTCTTTTGCAAAAGCTTGTGAGTATTCAGAACCTATGCTATATGAACAGCAGCCGGTTAACTTTTTTTCGCTCTGAGAGATGAGAAAAGCAATGGCTTAGAGCTAGTTTTTCCACCTGATTTTGATACGCTGAAAAAAATAGGTTGAACTTTTTTCTAACTCGGATTCCAAAAAAATCCCACTTTTGTTTTTGACGCAAAATCAACAGACGCAAATGAAAATTGAAAATAAATTTCGCTCACAGTAAGTCAACAACATATGATGATAATTACTCTACAATTATATATTTTTTGAAATAAACAAATATAAAAAAAGCATTTTTTTTGTTTCGACACAGAACGCGATACTTTTTGATTGCCATGAAAGCTGTGCTTGAATCATTGGGTACAACTTATTGTGCAGCATGTTAATTACAGGCTCCTGTAGATAAATTTTTAAAAAAAGTTTCTAATTTTTATATGAGTTGACGTAACGAAATCGTACCCAACATACAAAATGGCAGAAAAAGATGTTGAAAAAGATCAAAAACCTGTATACATTGCCTATCGAAATGAAGTTTTCACTTGCAGTTTGCCCAAAAATCTTTATATGAAAAATTAGTAGGAAACAAATGTTACATAGACATTTGAGGAGAGTGTAATCTTCAAAATGCAAGCTGTTTTTCTGAATGAAAACGAAAATCTTACCTTTTCTTGGTATCTCAACTGAGAGCTTATTCTTAGTCGTTTCTAAGATTTCTCAAATGCCAGCCATTTTCGGTCTTAAATTACAGCCTGATTTACTTATCTGGTTTCATTTGAGAAAACGAAGACACAATCTCACTTATTTGAAATACACAGTCTCGAACTTTGTTCTTACCTCAGTTCAATAACTGACAAAAAGTTCAATTTTATTTCGAATAAAATGCAGCTGAAACAAATTTGGGGTCAATAGCTTGTGCTGGTTTATTCTGCAATTTGCTTGAAGGATTCAATATTGTTTAGATATTTGTCTCCAATGGTTTCTTATTCCAATTCTGGACTCCCGAACGGGTGTAACAAAAAGTAAAATTAGCGAATTCAGGAAAATTTGTTCAGAATCATTTGTTTTCTGAAGCTCTATGTGTGTTTAACAACTTAAATTGAAAAAAGGTCATGTCAATTTTTGCAGTGAAATTTTTTCAGTGAAAATTAACTTAGGCCTAGGGTACTTTTCTTCTGCGTAAAATCAGGTAATACAAATGACATTCGCGAGGCAATAAGCGCGTTATCGCAATAAAGCTTTTTAAGTGTTGACTTCGATTACAAAAACTGATAAAATACTTTCAACAAAATTTTCTATTCAGACTTAAAATGAGCAAAAAGCTGATTTTTTTTTCTTGTTCACTCTTTTCCAATTGATTGCTTCAAGTTGTGAAAAAACAAATACTGAATTAATAGTATTAATGAAAGTATTATAATCCTATTTTCTATTTTATTCTAACTTATTCTAATTCTTTTTTTTTGAAATATTCTGCAATGGTAACGGTTTTCTTGAGATAGTCAATTAGATTTTATCTTTTTAAAGCAATGTTTGAGTACTTGCCATTTATTACAAATTTGTCACTTATAGAACGAAATAAAGGAATCAACAGCTCAAATTGCGAAGAATGTTTAAAGTTAGAGTTGTGATAATATTGAGAGAAGGGTAAACTGAAAGGAAATTCCCAGAATTAGGGTTCTATCGGGTTAATATTATCAATACTACAAGTCAAGTGGTTTGGTCTGAACTGTCAAAATGTGAAAATTTGTTTAAATTTGAATCAACCCAAATTGACAATTTCAAAATAGAAATCGACTCAAATTCTGCTACTACCGAAGTTGTTGACATGTTTAGGTTAATCGATTAGTTACTTTCAGAAATTGAGACACCCTAAGAAAACACTAGCTGTGCTGGTATTTGTTAATTCTTTACGAAGCCGTGAAATTTTAGTTGCCCCAAGAAACCAAATGAAATGCTCATGTTTATTGATAGTTTTCTAGGGGATACAGTTAACATTTTTTCAAGCATTGTGTTTTGCAAATGAGAAAAGAGTTATTATTTAGATTTTTAGCTTAGTAGCTGCTAGTTTTTTGGCAGGTTGTGGTGTCCCTAAAGCTCTTTATAACTCTTGGATTCAAACAAACCCGCAACAATTTTTATGGGTAAAAATTGATTATGATAGACTTTCGTTGACTAAAATAATTTCTGAAATCTTAAAATAGTAAAAAAATTTAACGACCGATAGTCCAAAAAAAAACAGGGCCTTTTGTAACGATTTAAGTTTTTTGATTTCAAGGAAGTTGATATTTTCTACGAAAACCCGCAGAAGTCACCCGCAAATTTAGTTGCCCCAATAAAGAACAATTGCGTTGATTGTATTGCCTCAAAAACTAAACAAACATTACCCACAAAAGGAAAGTCTAAGTGGAAGCGAAAAAATTGATAGAATACAAAATCCAATTATATTCAAAAAATATGATGTTTTTAACAAAATTGTGTTTCAACATCCTGTCATTTTTGATACTTTTTAAATAAACCTAGTCTAGTTTGCGAACCACTAACAGATATGTATTTTGTTCTGAATATCTGGCAATATCTGGAAACTAAAATAGCTATCTTATAACTTTGCCACTGAGGATCATAACTTGTTTTTCTGGTAACAAATGCCTTGAATTTCTTGACTAGTAGCAAACGAACATGAAAAGAAAACACAGCAAAGAGCTAATGGAGTAAATTTCTCTTCTATCTTCCGGTAAAAATGAAAAAATAAATGTACAACTAAGATGATTGTTAGAGTGCTGTTTAATAGAAAAAAAAATGAGGATACGAAGCGCCAAAAATTAATATAAGTTCAATTTGAGAATTTTTCGTAACAAATCGAAACAAAAATGAACAAATGAATAAATTAAATCGAACATTTTTAAAAACTGCTTTAAATGAAGCAGTCTATAAAAGATTTTCGTCGATGAATCAAGCCCAGAAAAAAATTGCAGTTCAAATTAAAAATGTGTTTTTGGGTTTTTCAGATTTACTTAATGACCTAGACTTTTAGTTTACGTAAACTGTTTTTAGATTAATCAATTTGTTTTTCTCATAACACCTTGAGAAACAAGTTAACGTTGAGTCAGGCGTTTTATTTGATTTTGCGATCAATGATCTTCGAATGTGGTTGACAATTTGCTTCTAAATTACAAGACTTAAATTCGTAAATTTTGCGAATGATTAAGAAACCCTAAGCAAAAAAGCATTGAAACTTTTCTGCTTCAATCTAATTCAGTGATTTTCGCAAGATGTTCATATATATGAGTATGATGAATTAACTTGAAGCAGAGCAGTTTCATTGACTTTTTTGCTTAGGGTTTTTTAATCACTTACGTACGGTATTACAAAAAGATGAGAACTACTTTTATTCATTTGAGATTTTAGTTACGCAGAAGTTCTGATGCAAAAAAGTTTTGTCATTTTCATAAGCATATGCAAAAGCAAACCGAAAAAATTCAAAATTATATTTAAACGACCGCATAAACAAGTGTGGCATGACACCATCTTTTAGGCTGTTATTTATTTTTTGAGATAACATAAGTAGCAAAAAACCTATTGTAAAAACTGAGCGGCTGGTTGTGGTTGTCTTACCTCATGAGTCATGTATTCAGTAACAAATGGTGTCATTTTTTAAAACGGTTGGTTGTTGATTTTTTTTCTCGAAAAGCGAAAGGAATATTTATGCTACACAGAATAAATTAAAAGTTGAACTGTAGCTCGCAAATTGACCTTTCAAACTTTGAAGTTTTACATGACGTTTTTTTTTACACTTTGATTGATGAAATTTTAAAACATTTTTCGGTTCGTGAAAAACAATTGTGAGAAAAAACTAAACGAATTTAAGCGTAATTTTTTTGATTACTTCAATTCAATGAAAAAAACTAAATAAACTATTAAATCTGTAATTAATTTGTAGAAACGATAAAAAATTAACATTTTATTGTTTCGACTCACTAAAGATTTCACAGTATATATTCATGCGTGACGTTTTGGTAAACGATGAATTCAAGCGTCCAACAAATTTCAGCAAAAAACAATTAACAATTTATGAACTTTTCTGTCGTAAATTGAATTGCAGTGCAAAAGAAACCATTTACTGACAAGAAATGGATTGCATTCGACTTTATACAGACACGCCAAGACCTAAGAAATCAATCTGAATCGAAATAAAACCCATTTAGTTTGATACAAAAAAGTAGCCCTAAAATGTATCCTTTTTTTGCATTTTGGTTTCACTTTCATTCAAACTTTTGCAACAGTAAAATTGATTTAATTATTCCTCTTCTTCTTCTAAATTGTTTGAATCAATTTTTGTCTACTATTTTGGAAACACATTTTATAGAACTTAAAACATTTAAAAAATCTAAATATAAAATTTTTGAATGAGAGCTTCAAAAATGAAAATTCTTGTGGCCTGTCATTATTAGCTTATTTAACCAAATGACAAAAAATATTATAAACAACAAAAAAACTATCTAAAAAGTCTCAAATTATATTTAAAAACATCAAAATTTGTCTAGGACGTGATTATTGCAGTATAATACCGTTTAGGCGTGAACAAAAAGTATCAGAAAAGATACCGAAAAACAACAGAACAAGCAACAAAGGAAGTTTAACAGAAAAACAAAATGAGTACCAAGAATAACAAAAACAACAGCCAAAAATGTATGTGTGGGGAAAGTTACAATCAGTATTAACAATTTACTGAGCATAAAAAACATAAAGCACTTTTAAAACACTAACGAAAACATTTTTAAAAACACCAAAAAACGATCGAAAGCTAACGTAAAAGAACATATCGAAAACTTTCTAGAAAGAAATTAACACTGTATATCATCATGAACACTTGAACAAAACACAAACAGTATAAAAAAAACTGAACTTAACAGAGAAAAAACAGCAGAAAGAGATTTCAATAAAATAACGAAAAAAATAAAGCTTGGCAAAAATCTGCTAATATAAGTAAATCAAAATTTTTCGGTTGCTTTCAGTGTTTTAATAGCATTAGTGTTATATTGAAACTGTTATAGTTGCAGTAGCAGGTATTAGGAGAAAGTTCATGATTTGAATACATGATTTTGACCCAAAATATGTTCCATGTATTTTTTGCAGATTTTTGTGCTCAAAATCCGACTTATTCGACCAATTTCATGTCTTTTTGAACTATTATTGGTCCAAAATGGTTCTCATATTGATTATTTATTGTAGTTTTCTTGCATGTTTTTCTGCTCAAAAAATAATTTTTTTACCAAATTTTGGATTTTTTAAAAAAGTTTTGACCAAAACTGCGATTCAAATTGATGATGTTCTATGGTCTTTTTTTAAATTGTTTTTTGCTCAAAATTTGATCTATTATGACCAAGTTTAAAAATTAACATACAAATCTTATTAACTTTACCAATCAATTTTTACTTGGCAAAGTTTTAATCATAAAATCATCAATAAAGTGTTTCAACAAGCATGTTTTTTTTGCAAAAAACTTCATCTAAAACGGTTTGAAATGGTTTTTCTAGGCTATAAATTGGATAGTTTTTTTACTCCAAAAAATCGACTTTGTTGAGATTTCGTTGGATTTAATTACCTCACAAACTTTCATTTTAATTAATTCAAACCATTTTTTTAGGCAATAAAATCAATTTTTTCTTCCGTAAAACCCCATTTAATCCATTCCTAATCGATTCACCTATCTAAATGGGCCACCGTAATTTCGTTTTTATTCAGTATATTATCTGTATAAAAATCAATTTATTTATACTTCAATCTCAAGTTTGTCAGTGCGGGAATCATGTAAGTCATCTCAGAGTTCAGAGAAACTCATTTGATATTTTCACACAAACCTGATGCATTGGTGTTATCATTCAACTGATTTAACTGCGAAAACGTGTCTGTTAAGGTTTCTAAATGTTCCAATTGCTTCTTCCGACAACAGTAACTCTGATTTTTATGCTTAGTCGTCTCCGGACGAATAAGATGCGAACGTGCAATTGACAGACAAGCCACCAGACAAAAGACACTTATTGAATAAGCAACACGCCATTGCATCAATACAACAGCAAACCCTCCGACAATTAAGGCAAAAGCAATCTAAAAGAATGAAACTGTTTCGCTTCTTTTGACATAATACTAACTTTTTTTATTATTATTATCTTAAGTTCGCAAAAAAAAAACGAAATTTTGGAAATTTTCGACTATAAAGTAATTTAGACAAAGGTAAACACCCACCAATTTTAAAAAAAAACAAATCTATATTCGACATTTTTTCTTTTTTTGTTGTAGATTTGAGATAATCAGACGATCACGTTAAATTTCCAACGAGCCTTGCCGGTATATTTTTTTGAATGGAAAAACCCTCTGACCAAGAAGTTTTCTCCTCACAGAGAAAAAAATCTTTGAAAATAATTTTAAGCAACCGGGATCCCGACTGGCAGAACTAAAAGAAATCACTTGAGACTTTAAAATGCGCATTTTTGCACCTGATTTTATGTTGAAAACCATTAAATTCAGGAGCAAATTGAACGATTCAGAGAAAAAAAACTCCCTGTAAAAAAAAGCTTGCCCTCTGCTCCGTTAAAAAATTAATAGAAAACATAACTTGCTTCCAAGAAAGAAACGGTTCCCAATTCTGAAACCCCGCGTTTTTTAAGTTAAGTTATCAGAAAAATTATTTTAACTATTGAAATTCTACCGCTTTTTAATATAAATTATTAGAATTAAGTAAATTTTACTTGAAACAGTTTCTTCATCATAAGGTCGGTAAAAACCAAAGCTTCAATTGAGAAAAGTTTTGCAAAACTAAAATAGATAAAAACAAGCAGCTAGATGCGCTTTAGCTTTGAACAAAAATAACTTTGCCGATCGTCTAGCCTTCTATATGAACTTGAAAAACAACCCAGTCGAAGTCATAAGCAAGAAGGTTAGAATTTTCTAAATTTGAATATTATCTTGCACAAAGTCCAAACTATTGCCTGAGTTCGTATTTGTTTTGTTCTTTCGCTTTAGATAGTACTCGTGGCTTAGTAACACTCGTATTCGCTTGTCTACGAAAGATTAGGTTTGCTGGAAAAACACTTCAAACATTATAACTGCTGAAATGGTTTAACAAAAATTTAAGTATAAAATAGAAAGGTCGTAATCAAAATCTACAATCGTCTAAAGTTGCTTTCAAAAATCACCATATAAGTTACCCCTGATTTGAGTGTGTTAATGCAGAATCATTTCTATAGTTAACTAAAATCACTGTTTTAGCACTAAATGCATCAAATGAATTAGCAAAAATCTATCTTGCATCAGTTAGTACACGGGTCGAGCATTGGTACTTTTGTTTTGACAGACTTAACTAAAAATTGGCATGTATCGACCAGGCTCGAGATGTTTGATCGTCTCAACACAATGTTGGTATTTTTCGCTTAGGTTCAACCAAGAAAAAACAGTTCGGTTGAGCTCGACCAGTAAGTTTTTTGACCGTAAAAATGTCTACCTAAAAAAAGTTTGAATCAAGTTCGACCAACGAGAAACGTTTCTACCTACTGTAACCAAGCTTTTGAAAAATTTCAACCAAGCAATGAAAACAAAAGTAGAATGGTAATTTATGACTTTCGTATAAAATTTTGCGTCAATGTTTGTCCAGATCAAAAGAAGAACAGTCGCTGGAGTGGGACTGAGTTGTAGCAAAAACAATTTTAAAACAGAAAACACGCAATGAAACTTGGGGTTTTGCTCAAAACTTGCGATAAGACTGTTAAGCAAACATGTAAAACATACAAAAAAATTTCATTAAAATTTTTTTTTCTATTTCTCAATGTTTTTCATATTTTAAAACAGAAACACAAAAAATTTCAGACATTTTTCATGATTTTTTTATGTTTCGATCAAGTTGACTTTTTTGTTAAAACTCGACTTTGTCCTCTGCTTTATGTATCTACCGAGTCGACTTCATTTTTCAACTTTGAGTTCGACTAATAGGGTCTTCTCAACCATAGATAGTTGATCGAAATCTGACATATAATTGACCCGTCTTGGTCAGAACATGAATTGCAATTTTCGAACCGGGTATACTTAACTTACTTAATACTTGAAGAGTAGAACACCGAGTGGAACAGCTCGCTTTTTCGTGTTTTTTTTCTATTTTTTTATTCTGAAAGTCGAAAATAGAACTCACTGTATAAGTTGTAGTGTGATGATTCATTGAGGATGTTGAGGTTGTTCCCTTGGCACTGATTATTCCGAAGACCGATGCTTTCCGAGGCGTAACTGTTCACTGCGTGGCTCAATTTGCGAGCCTTATTTTTGCGACCCATTTTCCGAATAATGTCGAGTAGCGTGGTAAAATCTTTGAGTAAAATTCTGAATTCAATTAAGAAATATTTAACAAAAAGGGAAACGGCTGTATAGAATTGATTCAAATTGTAAATTAATTGTTGTAAAACGAACCAAAAAAATGACGTAAGAAGAGCCAGAAAATGCCTCGCAATTTTTGGCATAATTTTTAGGAATCATCGTAAAAATAAAAACTGAACTAGTTTTGCAAAATGATTGCCTCCGGTGGTAAATTGGATGAAGTTCTCATTGGATAATCATATTAACTCGAATTCATTTTTTACACTTGAGATAGTTCAGGAAATAATTTTTCAAAAAAACGGCTCGATACATACAACAAATTTTATATGATTTTATGCCTGAAATTCTGCAATGAATATGAGCAAAAGTTGGTGCAACGCTAATAATATCCATTGGTTAGAAAAATCATTATAAGCTGAATAGTTTCAACTTTTTATCAAGTGTTAGGATATTTGCCAGGAAACAGATTTTAGAGATTTTTATACTAATTCAGGGCATTTTTTTGCGTCTTTGTATTATTGTCGCCCCGCAAGGTTTTGTTTTATTGTGATTTGACATACTAATGACGAAGGATGATGTCTATAGTGAGAAAGAAACAAAAAGAAATATAATTTTTCTGAAAGAGGCGCATAAGAGCTGCCTAGGTAATTGAGAAAAGTTATAACTTTTTGGGGCAATTTATCAGGGGCGGACTGAAAGCTTAAAAGGGTTCGGCTGGTCTTGAGTAAAGATTGTAAAATTTTGATGGAAGATTACAAAACGCAGAAATGGGGATAAAGAAGCGTCTTTTTCCCGAGGCGAAAATACCCTTAAAAAGGCGCGTCAATTCAAAATAATGGATTGGTGAAAAATTTCACAGGTAAGCCGGCTTGAAGTGTTATTAAACGTGAAAATTTGGGGGAAAGTGTTGAATTGATTGGTGCGAGTTGCAATTAATCCCTTTTAATTCCACAGATCAGATTTCCAAACCGGCATTTGCTGGAATTTGTTGAAATAAATGAGACTGAATATTGGAAATGAATCCTTTTTAGCCAGACTTATGGATTGAATTCTGGCCGTTTTTGACTGGTGTATGGCTGATATTGATCGGAAATCAAACCCAGAACTAGAATATAATTCAAAGAGACGGAATCGCATTGAAATCTGAAACGAATAAAAACAGTTGACTCTGTGAAAATTAGAAGTTTATACTGTCCCAAATTTTATAAGCAGCTATAGAAATTATTTGTTGAAATTGAAACTGTCAGCAACACGATCTTGTTTACTTTTTTGATCTTGTTTACTACCATCTCAATTGCAAAAAGGGATAATTATTATCAGGGGCGGATCTAGAGTTTTCAAAAAAAAGTTCGAAACTTTTATCGACCTTATTTTTAGGTCGATCAAATTTAGTCCGACCATTTTTTTTTAGCTCTCCCAAAGCACCGCAGTCATAAATTTGAAAAAACAGGCCGAAAAAGGCGTTTTTATACAGAGCAAAACATCGTGTTTTTTCGTGCGCGCTCCCCCATCAAAATTAATATATATTGGCGCAGAAGGCGCCTTTTGAATTATTTTAGTGTCCGTCACCAAAAATGGGTATCTCAAAATATAACAAAGGGGGGCAGGTGTTGGCAGGGTGACACCCCTCCCTTTGAGTCGGACACCCCCTCCCTTTGAGTCAGCAGGGTGTCGAATCCCTAAGGGGAGGGGGTGTCCGCTCTCCCCCACCCCTAAATCCGCCCTGATGATTAACCCCTGAGTTATGAGCGATGTGGTTAACTCATAGAGTAATTTCGGATAGGGTACACCGTCTGCTCGTCACGCTATCTTATTTTCGGCCGGATAGATTCGTGCAACTTCTTAGTCTAATACCGATCCTAATCTTACTCTTATACTATCTAGTCTCAGGTTGTTTAACTAGTCTCTGCTAGGCTCAATAGATCTAGGGTATACTGGTTTATTGCGGCTGCTGAAGTTCTCTTGGAGAGGCAACTAATTTCTAAGTTAAATTCAAATCTCTCTGGTGCTGAAATTACAAGTAATTTCAGCACTTACAAATAAGTGGGTTGTTAGTTAGATGGATCATGATTGGTTAATATTAAATACTTTACAGTGGTAAAATATCTAATTTATCCAATCATAAAATATAGTTTAGATCAGGTTCCACCCATCCGGGTTTTACAGAGTTTTTTAGAATTATCTTTCTGCAATTCAAAGGATGGATGATGGACGTTGGTATTTGGCGAACATCGTACTTTTGTCCGGTTTCTCTTTGTTAGAGAAGTTCCAGGACGCTGGAGTGAGGGGCATCAATCGTTGTGTCTTCTTGTGACAACGATGGTGTTTCCCAATGAAATCAATCTGATTTCAGAATGGTTTGCTATGACGGGTTTTTCTGTTTTATGTAGAGAACTTCTTTTGTGTTCGACCTCGTCTGGGAATGGCGTGGAGATTGTGCGTGGAGGGGGTGCCTTGTAACTCGGATCTGTACGTATACTCGAACATCGATGTGGTCATTGGTCTAGTTCAGTGAAGTCCTTTTCTGCGAAGTCAAGTCGTACTCTAAATCCTTTGAGTTTGTGATTGTGGACGGCATATCGGTTTGTGGTTGGCTATTCTTTTTTAAGTGTAGTGGGGTCGTTTTGTCTTTGGATGTTCGTCTTTGTTGTTATGTGCTAATCTATATACTGCAAAGTATAGTTTACGTTTTATAAAATTTTTATTAGTTCAGTGTCTTAATTATGATTTTGGTTAGTTATTTTCACAAAAGCATTTGTTTTAGTTCGGTTATTTTGAAGAGTTACTCATCCTTGAGTACCTCTTATTAAAAATAGAAGTGTGGTCACAAAGCGTGGATGTAGCGCGGTGGGTTAGGCCGGCTATAGAGCATGCTCAGGACGTCCTCTCTGGTGGTTAGGCCAGGAGTGGGAGTATGATTTCGTGCGGTTTCTGTGAGAGGTCCTGTTATGTGATAACGTTTTATGTTGGGTTTATGGTGGTTTTTCTTATGTTTCGTTGGTTGTGTCCTTTTTTCAAAAATCAAATTGTTTTTGGTATGGGTTTGTCTTTCGACTTTTTTGTGTTTTATTATTTCTTTCTTAGACTTTATAATAGTCTTCAAAAGAATAAATTATCCAGTTTTAAACTGGGTTAATCCGGTTTGGGTACCGTTGGTTTTCTTTTCTTAGTCATGCTGTTATTCTATGATTTGTGGTGTTTAGTAAGCTGCGTTGGTTAGTTTTGTTTAGTATATAATTCCTTTCCAACCGGGTTAAAGGAAAGATTGAAACTTGTTATCGCGTGTTAGAGTTATTGAGTGTGAAAGCTTGAAACTGAAATTCATTATTTAAACAATTCTTCGTGGGCGAGCTGTGCGAGTTTGGATAGAATTCTTGTGCGAGTGAATGGAAATATCAAAAGGTTAGTACTGCATTTTCGTTTTATCAATTTACTACATAGAATTTTAATTTTACTGCTGGTTTTGGGAAAAAATTAAATTACAAATTTTCATTTTTTATGAAATTTACTGCTTTTGGGGAAACAATTTATAAATCAATTTACTACATTTGGTATAAATTTTATCAGTTTATCTTGTGGAAAATATTAGTGAAATGAAGAATTTTAACAAGTTTATTTTTTATTTTG